AGCATGCAGAAAGACAAACATTTACAAAATATGGTTGACTGATGGTTGATGTGTATATTTTTGCATTATTTATTTTTCTGTTTTTTTCTTTTTTGAAGATAATTTCGATATTCTGCTAATATACACTGTATGTAAATTGGATGACTGTCATGTCATTCAGTTTTATTAGGATCTTTAAAGTGGTACTCCAACAATTTAGTACTATACTTCTATGGAGTTGGAATACTAACAAGAAACAGTTTTAAAAGGTTTTTGTATATAATAAAAAAACTCAAGCTGTAATACTGTAATAACCTTGATGATCTCACTATGGTCATCATCAGGTTTTTTTTTTTGAGACTTTAGAACACCTATCCAGAGCTACACAAGGCCTTATTGTGTAACATCAGTGGAGTGCATCTTTAACTGGCCTTTTTTTCCCCCATAAAAATCCAAATGTCTGGATTTTGCCCAAATACAAATGATGTCAATGCTACGACCAGGCTGTAGGAAGCTGTGGATTTACTGTACGGCTCTACAGTAGTAGGACAGATGCATGAGGGGGGACTTTGCTGATGGCTACCACTGCAGATTCCCTGTTGTGTTCATTTACTGCAACACGCAACCAGGGAACAGCCAGCCTGCTGTATTTAGAACATCTTGTATCACGGTCAAACTGTTTAGATTGTTCATGGAAAAACTAGTGTAAGTGTGAGTGTGACCAAACCAGCTGTGTTGTTAGTCAGGTGTTAACAAAATACATTTACCCAGCTCAGAGAGTAAAGAAGATATAAAGGTTAAAAGCAGATTAAATATTTACATCTAGTATTGGGTGTTGGATGTAAATGGTCTACTTATCTGCCTCAGAAGCCTTAAAACTCAGTGACGTCAGTGAAAATATATTATTTGCCCACTTGTTAAAGCAGGAAATCAGTTTCCTCATGAAACAGTTGTGAGGTATTTTGTGTAATGCAATGCTGTAGACATTTGAAGGAAATTATCTAGAGTGAAAGCAGGAGATGGTCATTCCTATATTCATTCTCACTGATAGGTTTTTATGTCATTTAAATCAAATTAAAAACTTGTAGTCTTTTCTTTGTTTTTTGACTTGTCTACAATGTCACAACAGTGAATTGTCATCTTAGACATGACCTAAAGCTCAAAAAATTAGGTGTACCTAGGTTCTAGTATTTGTGTGCAGAAGCAACTCGGTTTATATACAAACTCTTGCTCACAAGACTTTTTTTCTAACAATATAAAATATTACATGATAGGTTAAGGATTTCCTTGAATGGGCATAATCTCCAGGCTCATGTGATCTTGCCTGACATCCACTGGTGCCCGCAACCATATTCGCAAAATTTTATATTGCCTTGTTTGTTATGCATATTTTCAATAAACCTTATATTAAAAAAAAGGCATCCACCTATGCCATTCTAAAAGCAGAGTTTTTTGACTGCAGCAGTAATGTGGATATATTTTACCTTTCTGCTGCCTGCACTGTGACCAGAGGATGTGGAGAAAAATACAGGGCCTAAGGTTACTGTATGTCTGGGAATGTTCCTGTACAGGGACTCCTTGTTTTACCTGACTGGGTCTAACCTACAAGCAGCTGGCCTGCTGTGGTGAATGATCAGCTCATCAATGCTAGATTCCCCCAGAGCACAATGCCTGTTTGTTTTGACTGCTTGAGGCCAGTGTGTCTGCTGCATGTGATATGTTGCTGGGTCATGAGCGGATGAACAATCCATGATGCTATTGTCAGTGCTAAGCTACCCGTTGGAATTAATTTCACTATTTTACATCCAGCATGATTACTGCACAGGTGTACCTTAGGCTGGCCACAATAAAAGGCCACTCTAAAATGTGCAGTTTTAATGTATTGGGGGGTCTGAAAACCAGTCAGTATCTGGTGTGACCACAATTTGCCACCAAGAGATTTCTTTCCCACCCTGTGCCCTGCACTGGGCTGTCCCCAAACTGTGGTGGCATAAATGCCAACGTGACCTGAGATCGGCTCCCTCTTTTTCTTCAGTAGTCTAAAGAGCGATTCCTAACAATGGCTAATGAGCAAAGATCAAATGCCGGACACCAGTGCTATCACCGTGTGCCCAAGCTGTGATACAGGCTTCATCATGCCCAGCAAACCACACCCCTGTTGCAAGGCCTGCCTCGGCAAGAGCACACCGAGCTGGCACTCTCCCCCCAGGCTGTTTGCCCCTTCTGTGTGCTTGCTTGCCTGTGGCACTGGGCTGAGGCGTTCACAGCTGTCAGAGAGCAGGATCCTGACAATGACTGGAGCTGGGTGAATCCTTGGTGGATGACCATCTGGGGTTCCTCACCGTGAGTGGGCCCTGTAGTGTATGGATCTATTTTCCTAGCACAGTAATACCCCTGTGTCTGTTACATATTGACTGATTGATGCTGCATACGCGCATTGATACGTGTACTCTCTCTCGCTCTAGTAAAAGCAGTAAAAGTTCCCCCTGTTGGGGCGACAGTGGTGCAGTGGGTAGAGCAGTTGTCTCCCAACCAGAAGGTTGAATGCCCGAATCTTGGTGCTTGCAGTCCACATGTTGAAGTGGAGCTTCTCCTTCAGACTGTTATGTTTGACACTGTGAGAGTTCACTCCTTCCTGCAGGAATAAGTGTGCATCAACCTCCAGAGCTGATAGTCATTTTTTCGTTTTGCACTCACCAAATCCTGATAAGACAATTTTTGCCATAACAACTTTCCAATACATTGTGTGACAGATTGGTTTGTGGCATGCATTGTCAAAGCGCACAGAAAAGGCTACTGTCAGAAAAGGATCTTACACTGGAAAAAAGCATTGGCCATCGCAATGTCAATGGAGACAGCAGCCAGGGATGCTCATGTTGAAGTGGAGCTTCTCCTTCAGACTGTTATGTTTGACACTGTGAGAGTTCACTCCTTCCTGCAGGAATAAGTGTGTATTACAGATGCGAAAAAACATCACATAATGCAAATGACTGGTGGTTTAAGGACAAAAACTGCAGGAAATGTAACAAACCAGGGCACATTGAGGGTGTGCAGACAAAAGTCAGACAGCAAGCATACCCAAAAGGAGAAATCACACGGTGAATATTTTAAGCACAAAGCTAAAAATGTGCACAATGCACATTTCTCACTGTCACTAATTGTGGAAGTGAATCAGAAAGTGAGTGTGACACAAGTGAACTGACTTGCTTAGAGTTGCACAGCATAAGTGAGCAAGACAGAAAAATTGTTTGGATAAACCTTGATGTGTCTGGGGTTAAATTAAATATGGAGCTAGACACAGGGTCAGCTGTATCTGTAATTTTAGAAGCTGACTACAAACGTTTTTTTCTTAAGCTCCCATTGCTAAAAACCTCAGTAATGCTTAAGACGTATACAGGAAAAAAGTGTCTCCAAAAGGCAAATTGAAGGCAAATGTGACTTACAATGGCAAAACACAGCAACTGGAGTTGTATGTTTTGAAAAATGGAGGGCCAGCACTTCTCGGACAGGA